GGTGAAGTTGGGCGAATGGACTTGGGGAGGGAGGGGCTGCGAAGATAAGAGGTGAAGTTAGGCGAATGGACTTGGCGAGGGTCGGTCTGCAGAGATAGGAGGTGAAGTTGGGCGAATGGACTTGGGGAGGGAGGGGCTGCGAAGATGGGATGGCCAGGGTTGGACAAAGGCACGCTGTCAAGATACGGGCTTGGGGTGGGCTTGGGCAAAGGAACGCGTCCAAGATGGGAGGCAGGATGGTAGTGTCAGGGCTTTGTTTGCGCGTGTTATGGTGTTTAAGGTTTTGTTTGTGTGGTGTTAATGTGTTCATGTGTGGTGCTATGGTGTTCAGATTATGTTTGTAATGGTGTTACGGTGGTAGGTTTTTGTTTTGCGATGATGTTACGGTGGTAGGTTTTTGTTTGCGATGGTGTTATGGCGTTAGGGTTTTGTTTGCAATGGTGTTATGGCGTTAGGGTTTTGTTTGCGATGGTGTTATGGCGTTAGGGTTTTGTTTGCGATGGTGTTATGGCGTTAGGGTTTTGTTTGCAATGGTGTTATGGCGTTAGGGTTTAGGGTTTAGGGTTCGCCAACACAGTTGGCGTCCAGGTCAAGTTCGGGCTCAAGGAGAGCAAAACTTTAAAGGCAGAACATTAAACAAAATCTTGTTTATACCGTCCAACCCTAAGCTTCGTAGATCATTTTCCTCTTCAACGATTCTCGCCCTAAGCTTCGTAGACCGTTTTCTTGTTAGCTTTCGGCCCTAAGCTTCGTAGATCGTTTTCTTGTTGACGTCCAGCCCTAAACTTCGTAGATCGTTTTCTTGTTAGCTTTCGGCCCTAAGCTTCGTAGACCATTTTCCTCTTCAACGATTCTCGCCCTAAGCTTCGTAGACCGTTTTCTTGTTAGCTTTCGGCCCTAAGCTTCGTAAAGCGTTTTCTTGTTGACGTCCAGCCCTAAGCTTCGTAGACCATTTTCTTGCCGACGTTTAGCCCTATCTTCATAGACCAAGGCTCAAGGAGAGCAAAAATTTGATTGACAACGTGAAGCACATAAAGCAAAACCTTGCGTCCAGCACTAAGCTTCGTAGATCATTTTCCTCTTCAACGATTCTCGCCCTAAGCTTCGTAGACCGTTTTCTTGTTAGCTTTCAGCCCTAAGCTTCGTAGATCGTTTTCTTGTTGACGTCTAGCCCTAAGCTTCGTAGACCGTTTTCTTGCCGACGTATAGCCCTAAGCTCCATAGACCAAGGCTCAAGGAGAGCAAAAATTTGACAGCGGAACGTAAAGCACATAAAGCAAAATCCCGCGTCCAGCCCCAAGCTTCGTAGACCATTTTCCTCTTCAACGATTCTCGCCCTAAGCTTCGTAGACCCTTTTCTTGTTAGCTTTCGGCCCTAAGCTTCGTAGATCGTTTTCTTGTTGACGTCTAGCCCTAAGCTTCGTAGACCGTTTTCTTGTTAGCTTTCGGCCCTAAGCTTCGTAGATCGTTTTCTTGTTGACGTTTAGCCCTAGGCTTCATAGACCAAGGCTTAAGGAGAGCAAAAATTTGACAGCGGAACGTAAAGCACATAAAGCAAAATCCCGCGTCCAGCCCTAAGCTTCGTAGACCATTTTCCTCTTCAACGATTCTCGCCCTAAGCTTCGTAGACCTTTTTCTTGTTAGCTTTCGGCCCTAAGCTTCGTAGATCGTTTTCCTCTTCAAGGATTCTCGCCCTAAGCTTCGTAGACGGTTTTCTTGTTAGCTTTCGGCCCTAAGCTTCGTAAAGCGTTTTCTTGTTGACGTGTAGCCCTAAGCTTCGTAGACCGTTTTCTTGCCAACGTTTAGCCCTAAGCTCCATAGACCAAGGCTCAATGTAGAGCAAAAATTTGACAGCAAGCCCTAAGTTGATGGGACCGCGTCACCCAAAGTGTGCTCCGGGCCACACACGCGGCAGCCCGCGGACGCGTTCGAGATGACGAGAAGTTATATAGAATATGTCCTTTGCATCCGTGCAAATAGTGTGTTGGCGGCGCGAAAGTGGCAAATTAGTGGATTAGTCACACTAGTAGTAATTCATTGCAAATAATAGATGATTAATGGTATTTAGCGGCAAATACTAGTGGTAATTATTTGCAGATAGTGGAAAAATTGCATGTGGCAAACTGATAATCAGTTACGAATTGTGGATGAATGCATGCTAGTCGCGATTGGTGACAGTGGTTTATGTTTCCAAAAGAAGGCCCCAGTAGGTTTGTATAATGCATAAACAACTTCACTGTTTGCTGTACAGTTAGTGAGAAAGCAAACCCGAGCAATACATTCGCGGAGGGTGCCACCGTGTTCGGCGGGGAGGGGCCGTGCATATTTAAACGCCAAAATTGTCGGACGTGCGTGTGGAAAAGAATTCTTGTGTGCTGCATGTCTCAATCTCTTAGCCTTTGTTTGCAGTTAGCATCTAGTATGTTCAATTGAAATGCTCGCGAAACAGGTGGATTTGTAGGATTTTACTTTGGGGGCTTGTCTTTGTTTGTCTTGTCGTCCTTTTTGTTGCCCTCTGTGCCCTTGCAATGGATCCAGTCTGGTATGAGTTAGAGACATATTCATTTTGTTTTTTTCTGGTCTCCCTTCACTAACCTTGTTCCAAATTGTGTTCCTTTTGTTTCGCTTTTGATGGACCCGCAGTGGTGTGATTTAGAGGCGGTTCCTTCTTCTTTTGTTCTTCCCTTATTTATCTTGCTTCTCATGGTCCAGTTCCAGCATGATTTCAGCGCTTTATTTTTTTACTAGATTGATCCATTTGAGGGGCGGTCTCTGTAAGTTAATGGAATTGCAAATTCCTTTGGCATAAGTACCCTAGAGTACACTGCGGGCCACATATGCGGCAGCTTGCGGAAGCCTTTGAAATAACGACAAGATTCTAAATATATTGCTGTTGGGTTGCAAAGCTGAGTTAATTTCCAAGAGAAACTTATCACTGTAGGAAGGCACTTACATAAAATAATTATGTGATTATGCAAATTATGTTTTTTGTTGCATGGTTGACCTTCAAGGCCTCAAGGACAAGGAATAAAAAAACTCCCTGTAAGTAGCTGATCTTTCCCCCTGAGAGGCACGGCGCCTCGCTGTCAACACTTGGCTGGTGACGTATCAGGCAATGGGTGTAGTGTGTTGAGCTGCATGCTGAAGTGCATCAATTTGTAAAATACAACAACTGGACCAGATGATTGATATATTGAGAGATTTCTTAGTGCCTTTGGCTTCCGAACCTTTCGTGCGCCAGGTTCCTCTGAGAAAGCTTCCGCCGTGAGTGCAACCTCCTTCATGGCACAACTGGGACCGCAATTGGGCTCAAGGCCTTGCTAGTTTCTTTGGCAGCAAACCTTTGCCAGTCATCTCAGCGTTGACTTTATCACATGTTTTTTGACATGGCGCTCTTGGTGACTGCTGTGCGTTCTATAGTTGCCCTACAATTGACATGGTGCACATATGCAGCATGCAACTGTATGAACTTGTCTTACTGCAAATGCTAGGTCTAACATGTCTAACGAAGTACACATGGTAGACCCTTGCCGACAATTGGAATTTCATTGCATCATTGGCCCTTGTGACATTGCAGGTGATGCGGTTCTATCTGATTCTATCTACTTTGGATTGAAGCTGTAGGTCTTCACAAGGTCTTAGATAGTCTTAGCAACGCCAAGAAAACAACATGAACATTGTAAGATGGTGCATGCTCTTCACCAATATAAATATT